GGACCCAACCAGTTCCCTATCTCCACCGATCAGTCTGAACCTCATCAGGTACAACTCAGAATCAAAATCTGTCAAGTCATCATAGCTACCTGGCTAACCAAACAATCCCTCTCTGCAGATAACTGTGTGAACCCAGTCCCGGACCTGTACCAGAACCAGTGCAAACAATTTACTGTGCTTATCCAAATAAACTGTTGAATTTTTACTCAGTCTCCTGTGGTGTTCTGCATGTAGGTTTAATCACAGAGACCCATTATGACAGTAACCAGCTGGTATTACATAAAAATATTCAGTAGTTTGATTTATTCAACACCAAACAATGAAAAACTTAAAGATACCTATTTGCATCAAAATTGAGATAAAGTGCCCCATCATATTTTACCAAAATGAGGCCATGGTCACCTTACTAGAATGAGTTGCTGCTGGAATTTTTTTTTCTCTGCTACCATGATAAAATTTAGCAGCAAAAAAGCATTGTTTTCATGTATTTCCCCAATGGTTGCAAATATAGAATAACAAAATAATGAATAATGCCTGGCGGTGTCTCTACTGATACCACAAGATAAGGTATTGACACTGATCTCTGATTGCATCTTCAAAAAGTCAGTAAAACTCTTATCTTCTGATTGAAGTTTTCAGCCTCCTTGATTGTGTAGGTTAACGCTATCTGCTCATTTATTTGTAGGGCTGAAATATTAACATTTTACTATTTAGTACTCTTTTTTTCTGGCCTTCTCGTTAAACATGTTTCAAATTGTTCATCCTTCATCAGAGATATTTTTGATGAAGTGATAAGCTGATACCAAAAAAATTGTGTGTTAAATGCATAAACATAAACAAAAATAAACATATGTTGTGATATGTTGATGCACGTATCAGCTACCAGTTACATTCCATAACATCAAATCCTAATGAATGCAATACCTGGGCCGGTATTGCAGCACTTCCACCTTGTGTGAACCTGTGCCTTTTTTTATTTGCTTAAACTTTACAAACATAAAAGAGAGACATTTTTCACTGATGGAACACTCTCATAGACATTGTCCTTTCTTAATACTTGATGAAGCAAAAACGTTCCTGTTGGCTCTGCACGTAAGTGCAATTGAAATAATCTTTTTGCCAAGCAGGAAAGGACATAGCACTATTTCTACAAATGATGTCACACTGCTAAGCTAAGATGTCTCCCACAGGTTCTACAATCTGTCTGTTTTACTCAGAAATATAAAGGTTTTTAAATTTGTAACAGGTGGTATAATTACAATAAAAATGTGAACTTGACAAATACCAAGTATAAATAACAAATTAGGGGGGAGAGTCAGGATCAAGCCTTTAGAAATAGAGCTGAAATTTTCATTGATGGCAAGAAAAGTTATTCTCATAAAGAGCTGCTGGTTCTGTTGTGACATCATCCGTATAAATTTCAATCTGAAAAATTCACACAAAGAGAAAAGAAAATGAGGAGAAATTTATTGATACAATTACTTTGTCTTTGATAATTTTGATAGATATGCATGAACAGGAGCAAAGAATAAGGCTGTTCCCCCCACCCCCAAGGCCTGAAACTAGTGATGGAGTGGAGATAGATGAAGTTGGTCAGTTTGTAGACTGCTGGTTAGCAAGATGGTATGCTGAGCTTTATGTGGAGATCCAATGGATTGCGTGAGCTGATACTAGAGCTTCACTCTAGTATCTAGTAAGGGACCTGGAAGATGTAAGTCCAGTTGGTAACACAGGTTGAGAGAACCTGTTCATGATGAGCAAGCATGAAGCGACAGTGGAGAGGAAAAACTCCCTGTTGGGAAGAAACCTCTGGCAGAACAAGGCGGTCTTCTGCCGGACCGGTTAAGATGAGACAGTGAACGCAGTAAGAGTCTGGGAGGAATGACACTCTGATGAAGCTTTAGCTACGAAGGTGGAGGAAGGGCTGGAGGTGGGTTGAAACAGTGTTATCTGAATGAAGTCACAGCCGTCCGCCGCCTGCACACAGGAGCAAACAGGTGCTTTGGCTGCCGATTGGCTTTCGTGGAGGTGTGGTTCAAAGCTGATTGGCTGTATCTCAGGTGGATGTATGAGAAACAATAAGTTTCTTCAGTTAAACTTCCGCCTAGGCTCCATTATCAGTATACAGATAAAATCCAACACATGTATTTTCAGAGGAGCCACCCATGATCTTCTTGCTTTAACGAGTTTTCCTGAATATCATGGAGGCATCTGTATGTATATGCTAAAATATTCATATTCATAACACACTCTTAGAAAATCCAGTGTTAGAATTTCTTTGGATCGGCGAAAAATCTCACAATAGGTATCCTTACAAATACGTTAATTTCCTGAACGCTTAAATCAGATTCTTTAAAGGATTTTTTTAACTTGCTGCTGGAAATTGCTGCTCTTATTCCAGTAGCACATAATCCAAGCTGCAATAATGATTTTTGTTTCAAAAAAGCATTCTATGACAGTTAAGTTTAAAACAATGGTTGGGTAAAAACATTTGCAGATAAAATTGATGAATACTTCTATATACATCTACAATTCTGAAAATTGTTGCCACTGAAAGAAAGTTTTGTGGCACACAATCTACATTTGAATATTATGAAGTTATCAATAGGAAATATCAAAATACTATTAATAAAAATATAACAAAATTTGAAATTTGTGGACATTTCTTTATTGAAGTACAACCCCCCAAAAAGCCTCACACCGCAGTAATTTAAGATAGATGGGGATAATTTCCTCGGGAACCTCTCTCAGGCTGACAACATCACTGGTCACTTGAGCCAGCCACAGATCAGACATCAACCTTCGGTCGAGTCCTCCCTGGCATTTTCTATGATCACATCTATGAGTTTTTCAGGCCTCCAAGCAGGTGGGCCGGCTTTCGTTACTGAGGTGTCCTCCTCGTCAGTCTCCTCGTTGCTAACAAGAGCCATCACCATTACACAGCTGGAAAAAAAAAAAATAAATAAATAAAAATAAAAAAGCAAGTCAAATTAAATTATACAAATCTTTATTTTTACTTCACCGCACATTTTGGTATTAAAAAATTTTTCCTTGCTTTATTCAAAGTAAAGCCTGGAAACCAAACAATACAATTAGTCTACCAACCCGGTTGCGGAAAGAAACAAAAATTTAGTGCGTAAATTGAACCCGCTCTTGAATAGGCTCATTGTTGTGCAATGATAGTAGCCCTAATACAAAGTTAATGTAATCATAACTATACCCAATCAAAATAAAATGAGAGAATTAGTATATTAAACAGACTAATGGAACATATACTCTGAGAAGATCCGTGTTTCTCATCCAGAGAGGACTTTTAATACGTAAAACAGACTAACTGCAGACATGTTGACAAGTCATTTTTTGCAAGTCAAAGTCAAGTCTCGTGTATTGAGCATGCCTGTTTTATTTCCAAAAGTAAGATAAAATTTATACTTATTGAATGGTTTTGTCATAATGAGCTTTAAAGATCTGACCCACATGCAGAGAACCACTCAGAGACCAAGGGTAAAAGTTAACCGGTTTATTGAGGGTTAGCAAAACACAGATAGAGAGAGATATTCTGCTGGGTAATACTGTTGGACCTCAGCAGACTGGTGAACCGGAAACTCTGAAGGGGGGGTCACAATGATCAGGTCAGGGACCGTGGGAAAAAAGACAGAGGCTTGTATATTGCTTGAGAGGCACTCACGTTTGGGGGGGCTCTTGGGTCCAGTTTGTGGGGTTAAATCCAGAGAAGAATAAACTCGTTGGAGAGCGGACAGGCAGCCTAACGTTGGTCCCAGAGGAGTGAAGGAGCGGACTGTCACTTGGTTTTCCAGAAGTGGACTTGAACCGATCATGTGGAGGTTTCCCCTTGCTCAGTTTGACTCAGTTAATACTTCCAGGGAGGATAGAAGGTCCAGGCATATCTAGTGACACAGGAAGGCTTCCTGCCAAAGAACAAAGAAAAAGTAAGTTTAGATTCAGAGAGACAAGGCTAAGGTTAGACTTTGCTAATCTCAGTTTGGCTAGAGTACCCAATACTGGTAAACACTCTGGCGTCGAGGTAGTGACGGCCCTGCTGCTCAAATACTCCTCTGGTAAAGACCCAACGAGCCGCAGGTGTGCAAGGAGGCCCAACGAGAACAGGGCACCATCTGGTGGTGGAGAGAAGAAAAACACAAAAAAAACACACAAACTGAAATCCTAACAGGTGTCCTATTGTTGAAAACACATAACTACTACAATACATTTATATTTATACTTATATAAATATAGTATAGTAGTAAGACAGATGCCTTTTAATGCATTATTTATAAATGGCTCAAAAAGTCACTTTACAGTGACTTTTTGACTTTAAAGTCAAGTTACAGTGGTTACACTGTAACCAAAGTCACAGTGTCAAAGTGTCTTGAAATAATGTGTCTTAATGTAAGATACGTAAAGGTGTAGGCCCATCATGAGAAATATCTTTTCAATGCAGTCTATTCTGCTATCAGTGAGGAGTTGGACACACCATTATAGTATAGCCCATTATGTATAATATACCATTGTGTCCAGACAGGAACTCCTTTTTAATGCCACAGTGTCAATGCCAACTTCTCCTATTAAGGTGATTTTTAATTTATTTGCTGGGCCTCCAGTCTTCTGCCACAGCCAAAGCTTTAGACCTCTCTACAGCATGTTGTCCCTCGAGACACAAATTTCAAATGACCTTCCCCTCTCAAATTTTGAGTCATCCCAAAGCAGAACATCTTCTTCACTGTTTAGGTAAATTATTGTGTCTTAAAACTGTGATAAATATATTTTGGCAGATAAATCACAGTTTCAAGATCAATTTTTGTACCATGAGATTTCATCTATTGGATTTTGAGTTGGTTCTTCCAGATCATGTGGATTTTCAGGTCCAGCATCTGGGTTCTTTACAGGACTACAATTAATGAAAGTTCCATTAAATTCCAACTACTCTCAGCCAACCAAAATATCTGATGTTATTATGTGACTTAACTTACCTTGCTCCACAGAAAGATGTTCTGGATTGGTATTTGTTGCATATCGGGCATATTATCTTACTTTGCTAAATGGGAAGACAGAATTAGTTTATGTTTTGATAGCAAATCACCTCATCATAAATGGTGATGCTCATTTATGGTTTCACTCAAAATCAGAAGTAATAAAAATATAAAGCATTATATCAGAATCAGAAATACTTTAATAATCCCAGAGGGAAATTACTTTTGTTACACGCCAAACATCATATGGATTTTGGGATAGTTTTGATTATCTTCTGGATTAACAACAATTTTTCAGGAATTTTCAAGGAAAGTTTTGACAAAAGTTAGTTTGGAGGCCTGATGGCAACATCCATATTTTAGTTGCATAAAGTGGAAAAAAGGGAAAAGACAGGCATCTCACCTCTGAATCACAAAAAGTCTTCCGAGACATCCCTTCACAATCACCTTGCACATGCAGGGCTAGCATTTACAAAGGTATGACCATTTTGCACTATGTGCATTTCCCCTTTGGCATGAGATTGAACTCTGTAGCATCCACTTGCAGTGGTGTTATATCAATGTTTTCTTGGAGTGGACCAATAGAAACCATAAAATTCCCTCCTGCAGAGGCTTCTGAGAACAGAGTTGGTGTTTCCCTCTGACTCTAAGTCAAAAGCGGCCATTCTCCTCCTTCCAGGCCAACCTGAAAATTAAAGAGTGCTAACTATGGTATTCCACCAGAGTATCATGTTCATCTGCTGTTTGTAACTCCATTTCAGCTGATGTGGAAGTGGGGGCTAATGCTTGGTTAGATGGTCCTTTTCTATCCCTCCCCATCCCCCTCCCTCTGGTAGCACATGGCTTTCCTGTTGCAACACCTGGATTTTTGATGCAATGGAGGAAGGGGCAAATTTTACTCCTTTTGTGTCTTAGCACACTGAGGTTCCCAGTCTGAGTCACTTTCCTCTTCTGGTATCCATTCGCTATAAAACACATTAAAACATAAATAAATAAATATATATGTATCTATGTAATCCTGTTTCGAAATGTCTTAGTGGAGTTCTTTGTCTAAAAAAAATTATTTGATCAAAATAAAAATATCTTTATCCAGGCAAGGTGTTGCAATTAATGTAGCTATTGGTATATTGGTTAATGATAATTAAACAACACTACTAAGCAGTTATAACTGTGTGTGCAGCAATACCTGCATTGATAAATGCTTGTTATCATTACTTAATATAATTTAATGCAAAAAAAAATAAGTAGGCTATCAAAAAAAAAATCAGAAAAAGAATCAGTCAGGATCAGAGTACTTCATCAATCTGCACTGTAATAAAATAAAGACATACTATCATGGTTCTGTTTTGGCCCGGCTATCACCTCCTGTTATTTTCCAGCACCTCCTCTTCTCACACAGCTCAGGCTCCACTTCCTCAGTAATTAGTCACACCTGTTAAGCACCAATTAGTCTATACTCACTCCACCTGCCACCCTCTCTACAAACCTCCCCCACTTAGCTATTCCCCGCCTGTTCGTATTCAGTCACTACTAACCCAACACCTCGTCAGTCCGGTTCCGTTGCTGCGCTGCTAGATCTTTGCCTTCTGCCGTGTGAACTCTTTTGTCTGCTCCTGGGGATTTACAGCAGTTCAGCGACTTCAGCTATACTCTTAGTCTTCCTGTGGATATATTACAGACTCTGCTTCACCAAGAAACCACTCAGTTGTCCTGGGCATTACTGAAGCTAAGGCTCACATGTACACCTCAAGTTCCAGTCACGTACAGCCTCTGGTTACCTTCATCCACAACTCTTTACTTTCAATGAACCTTCAAGACTAGCTCTGTGTTTGTGGTGTGCATTCTGGCTTCATCAAAGAAAAATCCTGACAGTATGAATTGGCCAAAGATGAACCCGATGCACACACAGAGCTTAGAGTCCATATTTGAAAAGCCGAGGATGCAGCTGGTCTCATGTGCTGCCCTCAACCTGCTGTAGATTCGGTTGAATGTGGTGGGGGTCCTTTGGGAACATCTCAAAGACAAAACAGAACTCTTGTCTAACCTAGGGATTATCGGTTTGGCTGAAGAGGTTGAGTGCATCTTGGTGACTGCTTGTGCCGATACCTTCTACAGACCACACCCACCTAGACCTCCTCTCACCCGGCTGTCTGTCCCATCCACTGCTGCCACCTCTGATCTGGTCTCCGTTCCTGTCTCTGCAGCAGCCGCTGTTGTTGCTGCTACTCCCACCACTGCTGCCACTCCTGTCGCAGCTGTCTCCGCCACAACTTCTGCTGCCTCTTCGCCAGCCTCAGTCACTCCCTCATTGTCTGTCTCCTCCCGGTGCAGCCGCCGGGCTCGTCGGCGCAACAGGTCAGTTACTGGCCAGCTTGAAGCCCAGCAGGGCATCACTGCAGCACTTCTGCCCGCTGGGGCTGCCGTCAACTCCGTCTTCCTAGTGAGTTGGTCTGGCAACGTCGAAGTTGCTCCGGCGAGTCAGAACAGAGGATTCTCACTTCTCCGTCGCCTTGGTCACCACCTCCTACAAACACAGCTGGTCTTTCGGGTGCGGGCCGAGGTTAAGGATTGGAGGGTTACTATCCCACTGGTCCAGGCTTGCACATCAAGGAGACACAACTGTGGGATTTCTTTTATGGTAACCAGGTGACCTCCTTCCCTGCTGGCCAAATGCTGCTTAGCCACATCGGGCCTCAGCAGGGGGTCCTGCCCCGTTGTCGACTGTCACTGAAGGCCAAGTCCTGCCGGCCTCCAAGTGCTCCGTCCTGCCAGTTGCCGGAAGTCAAGCCCTGTTAGCCACCGAAAACAAAGTCCTGGCGGCCTTTGAAAGCAAAGACCTGCCGGCAAACGTAAGCCCAGTTCTGCCGGCCGCTGAAAACTGCTTGCACGGCACTAATTTGCTACAGTGGTTCTCCAGGGAACAACAGTGCTTTGTCTAAAGATGTTTTAGAACTGATTGTCGACCTTTAGTTTATATTTTTGGATAATTAGTTATTGTAAGTAGAGTTATAAGTTGTTTTGCTAATTTCTGAGCATAGCCTTCCAGGCTTAGCTGTTTCTCTAGCACTTAGTTTATGTATATGAAAGTTACTCATGAAAAAATACTATGAATGAAAACCTGATACTCATAGACTTGTAGATATGAACAGAATGAGAGAGAATGAGAATGCATTTCTAGTTTTTATTTTCCTCATTTTACTATTCCCTTAGGGGCGGCAGAGCTCTTCAGGCTCCACAACATTGGAAAGCCCTGGTGACCACCCTTCACCTACCCCTTTCCTGCAACCCAGAGACACTGTTCTAGTTTTCCATTAATAAAAATATTGATTTATCCATTTTATTCATCTTAGGAAATACTAACACTGTGGAGAGGCATTCCTTGTTTTTCGTTGATAAAATATTAAATAATATGTATAAGTAAATGACCCCATTACTATCCCAGGTTTCTAATTGCATCTTGACAAGATGTAATTCTTTTTACCTACGAGATGGAAATGTTCCTAATTTTGACTTAGAAATCTACTCAGAAAAAGGGTCACCTTAAATTTATACCTACATGAGCAGGGACCCAGCAAACTGTCACATTTCTGTAAACATTCTGTATTCTAAATAAACTTTCAGGATTTTCTCATAAAAAATTTTCTTTTTCAGATTTTATATTTTGAAGTTTATGAAGAGCTCCTGTATTGGTACACAATAAATTACCTAGAAATTCTTTTTATTAAAATGTAACACATTATATTTGTTTACCATATTGTTTTTGATTCTTTTAACTTATGATTTGGCATTGGTTAACTATTTGGTTGCACACATTTGGTAGACTCATCTTGTTACACTTTAATTGTATGGTTTACTTTCAACTAATACTTTTCTTTTGAGCTGCCAGTTCCTCAAAGGCTGCTGTGGGCTTGGCTTGGCCAGTAAAGCAAGAGTCCCAGCTGCAAATAATTTCAGTGGCATTGAGACTTAATTGGACTCTTTCACTTATTTTAGAAGAGGTGTGGGAAAGTTTAAGTTTTTCCATTTTATTTTATTTTTTTGTTTTAATTAAAAATAGAGTGTTTAAATACTTAAGTTATTTTGTCTCATAAGTTGCTGATTTTGTATTGTATAGATCAGTTTTTTGTTGTTGCAGTAGTTTTGTTTAGGTAATTGTATATAATGTTCCCTCTTGTGTCAAAATGGCCTGATCAGCCCGTATATATGATCACATTGTGTCTGCGTTTGTTTTGTTAATGAATACTTTAGTTGCTTGTGTTAAAGCCCATGTCACAACTTGCCAATTATCTAGCGTAAGCGCCTGATGTCCTAGAGTCTTCCAAAATGCTGGCATATGCTTAACTTTACATGTATTTTTAAAATTTGGGGCCTATACATAGAGTATAGCGAGTCCAGAACTTCAGTTAGGCTAGACAGCCTAACTTATGCATAACACGCGGCAGCATAATGCCTATCAAACGTCACAATCCAGTGTCCCAAGGGGGGCAGCAATGGGCCTGGAGGCACCCAGCCTGAATAAAAAGGTTTCTTTCCTCAAGGTATTAACCTATCTGCTGTTTACCACCCATCAAAAAAAAAAAAAAAATACATAAAAAGAATTAAATAAAAAAAGAAAAAGAAAAAGAAAAAAAAGGTTTGCAGTCACAGCAGTTTCACCATCATGTGTGCTAGGAAGTTTGTTGGTCGTGGCCGTGGGCGTGAATGCAGGAAGGATCCATCAAACTCACCTTCTCTCTTACCCTACAACTGGAACAAAGTCAAATTAATGAGATCATACTAATGTTGGAAGACAGCTAGTATGTATTCCTGTCTCAGCATTGGCGGATCCTCTATCTCTTGTGGAACGTCTGAAGTCTGGAAGAGTATGGATGGTTTTTTTCTGTGAACCCCCTTTTAAACCAAAGAGCTGCCAATACGCCATTATGCAATAGCTTGCAAGTTTGCATAAGTTATGCTCATGGGATTTTGATAAGCTAGACACCATGATTTAGGATTAACAAACACCTAACATATGTCAATCATCCCATAACTTACCTGTAACTTATGGCCCACTACTTGCCGTATGTCGACGTGTGCCAGTGTGCTCATCACTTACAAAAAACTGACCCAAAACTTAACATATGCCAGAGCTTTTGACAGATTTTCTTTGTCAGGCATACGCTGGCTAAATCATAGTGATGGTGAGATCAAACCTCATGAGGCATTTGAACCATTATAGATTGAATTTTCTGGGTGTTGTTTATAAATTAATGTAAAGTTAAACATAAATAAATGTTCAAACAGCATTGTTAAAAAAAAAAAAACACTGCTGGTATATTTTTCGGTTTTGTCATTGGTTTTGTATGCGAAAAACAAAAATTTAAATGTGGAAGCTACACTACACACGATCTCATCCCATGGGTTTCCATGGGGACAGAAATGTGAGGTGGAGAATAAGTAGACCAGCCAGTTAAATCAGCTCATAGAGCCTCATCAGTATCCAGGAGCTGCTGC